GCTACACTTGAGACGTACGATGCACATCGTTACCAGATAGCTTATGGTTATAGCAGAGAACACAGCGGTATGAAAAAGTGGTTGAGTACTTGGACGCCAGCCATGCTACGTCTACGACATTTGCAAAACAGTGTGAACACTGTTTGGAAAGTGGCATGTTTGACAGTGAGCAGTGGCACTTAGTTGGTGTAGTACTGCAGTAGTTGTCGCGACAACGAGGCCGTAAGCGGCGAATTAGTAATATTGCCACCTGTCAATGCTTAAGTTTGCACAAAAGTAGTTCTTTGAGGATGTGTATGTACTTCGGACAGCAGACGATCGGACCGGTCGGCAACACCGAGAGCCTGAAGTGAACACCCCCATCGCATTCGTACACTGTGCGATCTCCCCCATCAATTACGCAAACTAGACTGTACAGATAGGAGGAAAGACATAAGTGCACACTATTTTACTGTAGCGCTTGTCTATTTATCATTCTATCTCGTAACCGCACTGATGGTAGTTACGTCACTGTTCCTGTATCGGTTTCGTTCAAATACTGTTGCACAAGGTTTAAGGTTGTCAATTATGTTCACGTCTAAATGTTAAAGGAAACACCAACAGTTCGTATTGGGTACTCATGTGTACGAAAATGGCTGTTAGCCTGACCTCTAAACGAAACCCATGCACGTTTGTAGTACTATGGTTCGTGAGGTTTAATGTCACTATCCAGTTTGTGGCAGTTCATACCTAACTTTGGACAAACGCATGTGTATATGTTGTATTCGAACTACCATTGGACACGGATGACGCCAATCCATGTATATATGTATACCGAAAGAATTCGAGGAGGACACTTATACTGCCTTTGTACAGCCAATTTAGTGAAGGGAAACGGCACGAACTAATGTTTTTTTCAGGTGTTGGCAATCAAAGGCAGAGTTTATGGGTGCAAATTCCGTGGGTTGATCAAGAGGGCTGTTGCCCAGGTGTAGGAGGCGACACCGTTGCACTTGGATGATAAACGCGATATGTCCGCTGCGAAGCGATTTATTAATCCAGACCAATAAGGCGACGTATGTGGTGCGTTTGCCTGCGTGTTGAGTATTCTTGCATCTCAAGGGTTAGATGCTGATTGTGCTCCCTGGTGTGACTGCGTCAGATTTGAATGTTGACAAAGTGCCTATAAGTCTATTACCCACCACCTCGTTCATACTGGCTCCAGGAGATAGTTGGTCGTTGCTAGAGGGGACGGAGTGCACCGTCATCGTGGCGGTGTTAGACTCAAAGAGTGGTTCCATGCATCCTATGTGGCACGGGCAACAGCCCAGCCACTGTCTTGTGTACGTCTGGTGTGCATGATTTCCCAATTAGGCCGGAATGCTTCTGTTCTGCTTGTTGAAGAAGTGTGGGCCGGCTCCGTTGATGAAATCTGGCTTCCATCCACATGCCTCCCGGTCTTATTCTTTCGGGTTTACACCGTATATGAGGTGGGTGGGTGGTGCAGTGCAAGTCACCCATGGTCCGTCTGTAGGCGCAGGGGTCCTGTGGCTGTCCCAATGGAGGCCGCAGCGACAAGAACATCCGGACACAGATACTATAGATGGTGACACATGACAACCGTTATGGTGTCCGTTACTGGTATTACTAAAAAATCCTTCTGGTACAGAAGTCAATGATAGGCCTTATACCCACGAAAGACATCTTCGCAGCCCTTTGCACTATTATCGCAAATGAGAAAACAGCTAAAATAACTGCATAAATGACCAAGTATCAAATGTAAATTGTGGACGATAAGAAAGAGTGTAAACAACTGGGGCTCATATGGATTATTTTCGCTGAATCAACTGGGAAGCCTGACATGTACCGTAAGATAGAACTAAGGTAATTTGCAGTAGGAGAAAACGGAAGTCTAAATTTAGCGTGTAGAGAAAGCGGACGGCGTTTTCGGTACGTCAGCATGTAGTGGCTCACATCTGGTGGGAACACCGCGTGAGTAGTGAGCGTGTTCGACGCCATGTTTACGGCACAGAAAAAGGAACTGAACCGCTCAGCACCGTCAAATCACGCACCAGGCTCCGATGGCTCGGCCACGTGTTGTGCATGACAGCCCACCGACTCCCGCGACGTGTGTTGTTTGCTCACCGGGGATGTGGGTGGAAGAAGATGAGGGGTGTCCAAGCGATGACTTGGTCGAGAGGAAGGAAAGCCCTTACTTCGAAGCTGGCCTTGGTTGGAGCGTCAGCGTCCTGGTTGGGGTCCGAAAGACGATGAACACGTTTGTCTGGATATACTTGCTGACATGGCCAGGAGCCAACTTCATTGGCGTTCGCGTTGTGAGTCTCTTTGTTCCTCCCCCTCCAACACTGATCTCATTTCGTAGCGTACTACAATTTTACATAATAATTTTTCCTTTTGCCTAGCAGCCGGCTGGTAGCTTACCGGAACGATGCCTATCCGTTACTGGTAGCTCAGCCGGCATGCAACTGTTTTACTTATTTTCCTTTTCCTTTATGTATTGCGGCACAGTAGCTGATGTGTTTCCCACGTCTACCTAACGTGTATAATGATGATGATGATGAGTGAATCGAAAGAATGATTTAGAGAGTGGAAGTAAACTCGACACAGGCGTCTAGATTCTTAAGGACAATGAAATCAAAGAGGTCTTTGCTAGACAGTCCACTGCATCTAGAAATAAGTTCTGTGGACTGTACGAGTAGTATGCATGCATTGTTAGGTAATCCATGGAAAAGTAAACGGGTACACCAGGAGAGGATGCAAGTGGGCTCAAATTAATAAAAATTACATTACGGGATACTGATGCGTTTTATATCTGAGGGCGTAAAATTCAAACCTTATAACCTAAAAAAGGTTTCAGGTACCTATAGACTAACATAAGTTTTGGGAAAAAGGTTCCACAGATATTTGACAGTTGACGATCCGCGTATGATTTGGTCACTCACCACCAAGGCAGTAGTGGCATCCAAAAACTGCCCGCAGCTTATCAGCATGCAACATTTAGAAGCGTCCAGTAGGCGGATGGAAGTTTTCGCTGTATACAGTAAGTTGATGGAGAACATCGTTCCTTGTATAAAAGCGATCTGAGTACAGCGAAGAAGAATGTTCCGTTGCGTCGAGTAAAGTGACCGCGATTCGTAGGGTGGTCATTATTCACGCTACAAACATTTGTCTGAATGCCATTCCCAAGCAAGTTACGGAACAGGACCGATCTGTCAACGCTCCCAAAGGCATCCGAATAGTTAAGAAACAGATGGCGCAGCGTACTGCCTTTTCCATCCAATGCAGATGTCGCAGAATGGTCAGAGGGGGTGACACAGGATCTAGTGTGGCACAAGTAGGTTAATGAGCAGACTGCTAGATACCGCCCTCATGAATGTGTTTAAAAATCTAAAGAACCAGTACTTTATCGAAGGACTGCAAAATCGCACCAAGGCATGGTGCTAGTCTACATTGTTTCTGTTTTATACAAACGATCTTTCTCAGCTTCGTAAATTGCCGTGTGCTCTGTTTGCGGATGAACTGAAGATGTCTAGTGATAAGTGCCGCAAAACTCGATCCTTCAGGGACAAATGGTTTAATCGATAAAACAAGCTCAGCGAAAATGACAGCATAGCAAGCGTGTAGAAACCTCGATGTAAACAACTCCGTCATTTCCATAACTAACGAAGCTTCAGCATTCATGACATTCTTCCTTTGAATCAGTTAAACAAACCCACTCCAGCGTACCCAAATAAGAACTAATTAGTGCGCAGGCGAAATATGCGTTGGCGTCTAAGCAACTGCTCTGTTCGCTTGCGGCAAGCCAGCCTCCTACGTTGCTATGAAAATCCGTATCGTTCTTGTGTTTACAGAATAGCGCCACAATAATCACTTCCGACGACGGCGGCCTACTTCAGAAAGACATCGACCGCATTTCCGTGTGATTTGCAGAGGTCCGCTTTCCGGTCAACCCCATCCAAATCGGTATTCCTTAGACTGAGGAAGGGTGGTTACGGCCAAACCTACACTCTGTTCAATCAACGGTTTTCTGACATTGGTAATTATTTTGCAAAAGCTTCGTCACCAGTCGAGGTGATACAACCAGTGCGTAACGGAGTGAAGTGCATCGCAACACTACATTGCGTTACGCACTAACGCCAATTAGTACTCGCCAGTGTAAGTCGTCGTTGTTGGTACGACCTAAATAGGTAAAATATGACTACCGGATAGGAGAACAAACTTCATTGCGTTACTGCGTACACGGTGTCCAAAATCAGAGAAAATCCCACTCTGGTTACGCGTATCGTTGGAAGTTTCAGAAAAAGTTTTGCAACCATTGAAAGGGATACATCCGCGAGCACTGGTAAGCACAAATGGGTTCTGGTATACTTGCACCTCAGTGATCAGGTGATTTGAGTTTGATACAGGTGATGATAGCCCAATAGTCAATGATCGTGTTCGTCTATTGTTAGAAGCAACCCGAACTAGACACCAATGGAACTTAGTACATAACCGACCACCGTCTCCCCATAACAAAGTTCTGGCGGAGAAGGATAACCGAACCCCCTACTAATTTTGTAAAAATGATCCGGCTGGGTTCATCTGACCTCCAACTATTGACCTATCTGATGCGAACGTCTGCCTGTAGTGTAACTAGCAACATGACACAGAGAATAACCCGAAAATTAACGTTGAGGTACGGACGGATGGCTGAGTTGCATCGTTGCAAAAAAATCTCTGATGTCCTGTCATTTCGGGTATGCTGACTCGGTGGAAAGACGTTCAGATACCAAAAGCTCGGTTGGAGGAGCCGATAAAATCCGAGGCACTTAGTAGAAAGCGCGTTAAGAAGACCGCCTAATAATATGTTGGTCAGACCTGTGACAACGTTTTGATTATCTTAGGATGCGAGAATCACACGTATTGGTGACGAGAAAGTAATAGAGACCGCCTGTTCCTCATATAAGTGTCAATCGGAAGGGAGAATGCCAAATAGACCTGAACGGGAGGAAAAACAACCGTTGAATCAGAAGTGCAACCACTTTGTTCGAGTGTGAATTAGACCAAGCGGCATTTTAGAAATGAGTGTCAAAAATACACAGAGATTGTCATGAAGCAGGTCGAAAACGTCGCAGGAAATGGATGGGAAACCAAGATGGACGAGAATGAGGGACCTTGATGATTTCGTCGTTGGACGAAACGGTTTGTGAAGGATCATCTTCGTACACGAAGCGAATTTCGTGATCACTAGGAAGCTGGTTGCTGATCAGAGCTCGCAAGCGATTAGTCTCTTCTCGGACTTTGTCGTAACAATTCACTAAAATTGGGAGTAAAGAAAAGACATTTTTTAAAGATACATGGCTTGACATTATGGCGAATCATATGAAAAGGAAACCGGTGACGGTCGAGTGGCAGCGAAGCGTAGGTACAGTGTGCCGACATACTGCTAACGACTTTTCTTACATGGGAAGATGAACATGTAAACAAAATACGGCCCACCTTGTAGCTGCCTACAAAAGCTGGAATGGAACGATATGGAGGAAATGTTTTTGAAAAGCAAAGCGATAGTTTCCTCTGAAGTAACGGGGATCCCTAGGAAGAAAACTGCCGTCCTAAGATGACTGGCGATTGAGTGAAAAAAGGCATCACTGTAGACTTGTGCTGCTCTCCGAGCAACGGTAACGTGTAGGGTAGTGGAAGATCAGGAGGGCCAGTCATATGCCTTAGCGGGTAAACACCATCATTAAGGACCCACGGGATTAAGTCACTCACCTAGATGGACTCGATAAAAAACGCGCTGCTGAAAATGCCAAATAGGGCGAAACAATTACTCAGAACCTCTAATTTTGTCATCAGACACAGCATTTAGAACTCCGTGGCTGCTATTTTTAAGTCCCCGTCGTTACGAATGCGGTAATCATAAAGGAAGCAGTCTGATCTCCATGGCCTTTAAGTTACTTGCGTCTGTTGTCCTTCATACGCTGACTGGTACTCGTGGAAACCAGATAGGAGAGGAGCAAGCTGGGTTTCGTCGCAGTCACGACTGCATTGACCACATCTTCACATTACGTCAGTTGCTGGAGCACCGTCACATATATTGGCGACCCATCGTAGTCCTGTTCCTGGACATCAAAGGGGCTTTCGATTTGGTTGGTCGATGTGCCCTTTGGGAGTGTCTACTCAGGATCCGTGTGACCGAGAAATGTGTAAACATTATCAAAGCGCTATATGCGCGTAGCTCGGACAGAGTGAGAGCTTACGGCAAGCTGTCGCCGCTCTTCAATATCTCCAGCAGTGTGAGACAAGATTACCCGCTGTCACCATTCCTCTGTAACTTGGCCACTGACAATGTTATGCAAATGGCGTTCGCAGGGCAACACCTGCAAGATGTGAAGCTACTTCCTCGTGAGCGACTTCTTGACTTGTAGTATGCGAACGACATCGCACTAATCTGTGACAGGTAGTAAACATGCCAAGCATCACTGGATGGATTAGTACTGGCTATCAATCGTTTCGGATTATGCTTTGCATCATCGAAATGCAAGATCTTTCTCCAAGAGTTGCATGGACCCACTCCTGCACTGACCCTTGGCGGTGATAATTTAGATGTCGTCAAGAAATTCAAGTATCTAGGCAGCTATATCAGCGCCAGTGGAACGGAAGATGAGATCACGAACCGCATAGCAAAAAATCGAGGCGCTTTTGCTAGTCTCCGCCATCTGTGGCGTCGGGGTGACATTACTCTAGCTCTGAAGGGCAGAGTTGACAATGCAATGGTCCGTACAACCCACGTGTACGGTCGCAAAACTTGGTCCATCAAGTCGACAGACATAGATAGGTTAGCTACGTTCGAGGATCGCTTCCTTCGCAGCTTAGCTCATGTCCGGCGAGAGCACAGCGTAAGCAGTGAGCGTGTTCGGCGTCACGTATTTGGTGCAGGAAGAGCAAGTGAAGGGCTCAGTACCGTTTTATCACGCACCAGGCTCCGATGGCTGGGCCACGTGCTGCGCATGCCTGCCGCGAGGTGCGTTGTTTACGCTCCGCGGGAGTGGATGGACGAAAAGGATGGGAGGCCAAGCGACGACCTGGTTAAGAGGAATGAAGTCCTTCAGTTCTAAGTTGGCGTCGGTTGGTGTTTCCTGACTGCCTGGCTGAAGACCGAATGACGATGAACACGTTTGGCTAGATACACTAGCAGACATGGTGAAGAGTCGACCACAGTGGCGTTTATGTTGTAAGTCTGTTTGACCCTACCCTTCCCTTTAGCTTTCCCCTCCAACAACCACCAAAAATGTGATATTAGCATTATGTTACTTCTTTAAAACTTTTAAGTCTACATTGCCTAATGTAACTTTTTGCATTGCAGCACATTAGCTGAGTTGTCATTCTCACCCTCCGCTAACGTATATTGATGATGATGATTGACTCTGTCTGAATGAATTGCGGCGAACAAGTTCAATTCGGACCATGATTCGCTTTGAAGTGAACTTGGGTCGATTCGGTAACTGGGAGTACATTTGAAACAGATGAATATTGGGTGTTCCGCATATGCCACGTCTCGAACTTATTCGATCTCATCAGCTAGGGACAGTAGAAACTGGATTCTAACTCTCACTTATAAACAGCACACAACCCAAACTGTTCATAACACCCAAAGTTTGTTTGCAGCAGCCGCTTAGGAAGTTGTCGCATGGAGGGGGCACTATCCTCTCCACCGCTAAGAAGTAACGTGGCAATCAGTGGACAGTGAGACGCGTTATATCACATCTAGTAACTTAGCTATGCCGATCATCCCCGTCCTCCATGGCTCAGCAGTCTTGGACATGGGTTCGTAAAAGTTGGGTAACAGTGGTTCTAACCCCACAAGGGATGAAATGACTGCGTAGTGGTTTTCCGGATGTGTGATGGCCACATGACATGGGCTAGTTCAGATGAATTCCAACGATAATTCGGAGGAGAAGCATAGGGTATCACCAGTATACTGTACCGACGCTTTGACACCACGTGACGCCAACACAGTCACGCGTAGGCTGGGTATACTGCGAGGCAGAGTGCAGTTACGCGGACTCGAATCGATGACCTCCAGATTACAAGACAGGCTAGTAATCCTCTTAGCCACCGGCCAACTACTAGACGTCTCGTGATTGTCTGGCTGAATAGATCCGTTAAAACTATACTTGAAAGCTGTGAGCCCCTCTCGACGATGTCCACCTCCAATGGTGTCGAACAACCTCCTTGTGGTGCCAGCTGGGTGGTTCGGATTGACTTCGTTCCAATAAACAGTTCGGCGGCAGTATTCTAGGAAGTGGTGAGTTTTTGCCTGGCAACCGATCTCCCAATACAAAGTCATAAATGTCTGTTTAATAACACTGCGACGTGGTGGTTGTGACTGGACACCAACCAAAGTCACTGCCTTTTGCTTATCCGGACAATCGTATTCAATCTACAGTCTTCAGATATTTCTTGACACTGACGACGCGATCAAACACAGTCAAAAGTGCAGCAATACTTTTATGGACCTAAGCAACACAGTTACATACACATGCACGTACATACCTACATATGTTCATGGATCCACAGATTTGACAATGCAACTATACTTTCGTACACTGCTCGATCACTCATTGTACTCTCACCATGATCATGCCTGTGCAGGCGTGCCTCGCGTAAACGAGAATAAACAATTTATTTATTTAACGGACGGCTTCGTTCATGCTTAAACTTTGCTGACAACTTATGGCAGGAATCAAGAATGAGATCGAGTGTCTTCGAAGTAAACTGCAGGCCGGAATCGGGTTGCGCGTTATATCAAGTGTACAGAAAATGAAAACCAAAGCTTAATACAAAAAGCTCTGATAGGTGATGTTACATGCTGCCTGCTCGCAACTGATTTCGTGTTCGTTCGAATTTGTCAGGTAAAGATAACAGAAGAGTTTCCGGCAAAGTCCCATTGATGGAGCTGGCTCAGCGTCAGCTAGGGGTAAACCGTGCTGCACCACTTGGTACAACGCGTGTGTATTAAGGAGGTGGTGCCTGCTGAGCTGAAGGATGCCGTTGTGGTACCACTGCAAAAGGGTAAAGGTAGCAAGCAATGTTTCACAAATTAGCCTGGCATCAACTTGCTGAGTTGTGTGGGCAAGGTGATTGCCCGAATCATGCTCAACCGCCTCGTCAGTCAGGTTGTGGAACCGAACGTGGCGGAAGAGCAATGTGGATTCCGTTCGGGTCGCAGCACTTTAGGTATGGTGTTTGCAGGAGAAGTGTAGAGAACGACACCAGCCATTGTACTCGCTTTTTGTTGATTTTACCAAGGCATTTGATACGGTGAAACGCGAAGCATTGTGGCTGGTGTTCGGTTTATTGAATACTGTAATTTTATTTTAATTTCTGCACAATGGTATGTAAGCGAGGGTGCAGCTGAGTGGACAGATCTCGAATGACTTTGCAGTTGTCTCTGGTGTGAGGTAAGGCTGTGTCTTAACTCCTGCCTTGTTTAATATTTATCTCCATGCAACGATGTCTTGTGCTTTTGATGCCGCTTGTACTTACGGTGTTCGTGTGGAGCACCGTATTGATATTGGGTTGCTGAACATCGTCGTTTCGGTGCAATAACTCTAGTCTGTGAGATAACTATCCGTATGTTGTTGTTTGCTGACGACTGTGTATTGTTTGCACACAGTGCGGATGAGTTGCAGCACATGACTGGGGCTCTGACTTCGACAGTGGTCCAATTCGGGCTCACCATCAGCACACACAACTGTCTCTCTTTCAGCCTTCACCGGAGGTGCAATCTGCGATGGTGCCGCGAATCAGCATTGATGATGAAATATTGGAAAAAACATCGCATTTCTGCTACCTTGGTAGTGTGATGTCGATTGACCAGTAGAAACACAGAGAGCTGGGTATCCACAGCTCGAAGACAGCGCCGCCATTCGGGAATCATCATCAACAGCAGTACATCAGCCATTTGAACTTGATGCTTCGCTGCCATACAACCATGAGGACCTAGGAAATAAAGAATGAGAAGAGGGAGAGAAAAGGGGACTTAGCTGAAAACCTTAATGTCCTAAGCAAACATTCAGGGTCAAGGCGCCTACACCTTGTGTTAACAATATACCCTCACAAACAGCTGACTATCGTGCAAAGATAAGGCGGCATCGGCGAGACAGCTTCCTTGCGGCTTTCACTGCCACGCGTCATAATCAGCCAGTATCCAGCAGATAACTCAGCACCAAATCCACTTTAAACAGGCAATCCGATTAGGAGACGGCAGCAGACGCGCCACTGGTGTCGGTTGCGAGCCATGTCCTGTAAAGT